AAAAAAAAAAAAAAAAAAAAAATGTATCACCTCAAGCCTCCTTGTCTAATAATGTCTTCCCTGTATAGGCTGTTTCCAAAATAATACGGTTCAAAATAAAACAAGCATATTCAAATGTCAAATAACAAGTTTATATAATCCCTTAGTCACGAAGTCAGTTCCAGAAGGAGGTAGAAGGCATCCAAAACAGAATATTGTAATTTTTATAAAACAAGAGAGAGAGAAAGGACTGGGAAACAGTCCACAAGGCTCCTAGACAGTAACAGTCTCTCCTAATTGGAGTGAATTCAATAAGCTAGTAATCATTAGGTTTATTTATATCCACTGAAATACAAAACAAAATTAGAAACACAGTTTATCCTTGGCTTGATAAATACCAGAAAAACAGGATTTGCCTGCAATTATTTTGTTGTAGCTTTGTACCAGTAGTGATCAGAAGAAACTTCTGGGTAGGCTGTACAAGTGGTTTTCTAGCTTCTTTTACAGATTCATAGAACCACCTGACTCGTTCTTTCTGTTAACAATTCATAAGAAAAATGGTGTCTTTTAATAAGGAACTGATGAGTTGATGTTTAAGATTTAATGAATTTCCTGACTAATTTATTCATGTCAGAAATTTCAGTATAAATCATTTTCAATTTTCAACATTAGACCAACTCCTGTTCAATACAAGCTCCTGACCAACATACTCAAAACCACCATTGTAGTCAGACATTATATAATATCTGTAGTCATGGAGTCTTCTTTGCTTTTTACATACCAGAAATCCAGGCTCTTAAACATTTTTAGTAAGGTCCTGAGGATAACACCATGTTTCATATTTTCAAGTAGCCTTTAGGAAAGGCCTGGAGAACTCAAATTGAAAACCAATAGATAAATCTTTATGTTGTGGCTATGGGTCCCAGTGACCTCTAAGCACTACCAAAAATCTCTCGTCCATACCTAACCCATTCCTTTACCAAGTTACATCACATTGAATTTGTCAAGTTCAGTCTTTAATGCCTAATTTAGAATTATGCATCTATAGAAGTAACATGGAGGCCATTATAGAGCTGTGCTGTTCCAATATGGCTAGCCACTAGCTACACATGGCTATTTAAATTCATTAAATAAAATTTAAAATTCAGTTCCTGTTTCCCCTAGCCACATTTAAAGTGCTTAGTGGCCACATGTAGCTAGTGGCTGTCGTATTGGACAATGCAGGTGTACGACAATGGAGAAAGTTTAATTTGACAACATTGTCTAGAAAGCACTGATACAAAAGGCGCTGTAGTTGATAGTGACTTGTATATATATATGTAAAAATGCCCATATGATGGTTTCTAGAGAGGAAAGGCAACCAGATTGTTATAAATAGAACCTATAATTTCATTGTGCCAAAAAAGTGACTTTTAAATTTACAAATCTCTTTTTCTTTCCTAAAATTCCTACCTTAAAACATTTATATATCTTGTATATATCTGTATATGCAGAACTTCTAAAGACTGCATATACAGAATTGTGTGTACAACTAGTTCAGGATTCCCGGAATTTCTCCAATCCGTCTTGTACTACTCTTCTCTTCTACATGTTTGCTCATTAGCTTCTCCACAATGTGTTGACTCAAATGTTTACCATATATGTATAGATTTTTTTTTAAACTTCTATCTATTCTGCTGACTTAAACTGTAGTTCCTTGGTGGACAAAAGCTAACATATAGCTATTTTTGTCTGTCATATTGAGGTAAAGCCTGTAAGTGCCACTTGTACACCCCGTATTTTTCAGCTTTGTATAAGAAAGTGGTTGTCTTTGTTCTTAAGGAAATATGTTCACCCCTTCCTTAATAAGAATGATAAAATATGTTTTCCTTTCTCGGTTTTTTCAAAAGCAGACTCTTCTGATAAATTTGGTTCTGTGATGCCTGGATCCAGGCTGAGCCAGGGAAGGTTTAGGATGAGCCTGGAACATCTTATGCCAGAAAGTAAAGTACTCAAAAAAATGATGGGGACAGAGTCAAAGGACAGACAGGCAGGCTGAAGGGGTTCCCACTAGCCAAATCTGGGGGAAATTCGAGCATCAAAATAAGTATAGTAATGAATTATAAATCATAAAAAAAAATAGAAATCTATTAGCTGATAATAGACAGATAGATGGATAGAGACGAAAGGAAGGCTCTTTATAGTAGAATGCTGACTGATAAATGTGGATGGAATGAAGCTGGAAAATCACCATTTTGCAGTCATCATAATAAAGATTGGTTTGGGCAAAAATTATCAGTGGATACTAAATATACAGGGGAAGTTTTGACAAGGAGCAGGATGTTTACGTAGTCTTAATTGTCTTCCCACATATTGCTTCTTAGTTACAACAAGGAAAATAACTATAAAATGGAAAAACCAGTGAAAGGCAGGTGGGCCTTTGGATGTGATACCTTGAAAGACATTCATCACTTATGTCATGCATCCTACTTACACATAAGTATAACTTGAATCTAATCATGAGGAAACATCAGACAAAAACAAAATGGAAAACATTCTATTAAAAAAAAAAGTGGTCTGTATTGTTTAAAATGTCAATGTCATGAAAGATGGGGGAGAAGAGCACAGGGGGAAGGCTAAAGCACTATTCCAGATTAAAGGAAACCAAAGAGACCTGATGACTAAATGCTAATGTGTGATCTGGGACTGGATCTTGGACTAGAAGTGAAAAAAACGATAAAAAGGACATAATTGGGACAATTGCCAAGATAGGAATACAGATGGTAGATTACATAAAAAGTATTGATGTTAAATTTCCTAAATTTGGTAACTATACTATGGTTATGTTGGAGAATACCTTTGTTCTTAGGAAATACTCAATGAAATATTAAAGAGTAAAGGGGCATGGTGTCTGTAACTTTTTCTCAAATGGTTCAAGAAAGTAATTGTGTGTGTGGGGGGAGAGAGAGTACAATTACAAATGTACCACAACATTAACAGTTGGTGAATTTGACTAAAAGCTACACAGGAGTTCTCTAAGTCGTGCAACTTTTCTGTAAATTTGAAATTATTTCAAAATAAAAACTTTAAAAATTCTATTTGATGTTTTTTAGCCCTTTCTAAGGCACAAAATGACGTGATGACATTGAAGATGCAATCAGAGAGACTTTCAAAAGAATACGACCGACTCCTGAAAGAACACTCAAAACTTCAGGTGAGTGACATCCACTTTATGGGCCTAAATTGTTTGAAATAGTAATTACCTAAGTCAACTATTTGGGTTATTTACCCTTTCCACATCAAGAGGATGTACTTAATCCTAGCTTTGTTAAATGATTAAGTCAGATTTTTACCTAGAGGGTGAAGATTAGGACATTGCATGAAAATAAAAGATAATCATAACATAGAGAATTACTGACATGCTAACTTATAGCGTTCTAGTTTTGGTGAAGTTTTAAGCAAAAGAATTGAGCCGCAAAAATGACAGCATTGAAAAACAGACTGGAAAAATTTAGTTTTGCCTTTTGGAATATTTGCCATATTCATGCCAAAATAAGGCCAAAAGTTGAAGTCCCACTCACACTACTCTTTTTATCCCACTGTTTTAGACATCTTAGGACAAAGCCTATGGCATTCAAATACATGATTTATCTGCAAAGTTGATTTGAAAGATGGAAATGGAAACAAAGCTTTTTGTTATTAAAGCCACAAAGTCAGGGGCCGTAGAATTTCTTCCTCTTCTCCTGCAGTCCAGCAAGAGTCGATTCCCAAATTCATCCATGATGGACTTGTCTTTCCCTTCCCTGAATTGATTTCCCAGCCATACTTTGACCATACTTGGGGAGAATTTAGGGAAGAGACTATTCCAGAGGCAGCCTTGGGCTTCCCACTTCCTCCAAGATGGGGGGGTCTGTGCTCTTCTGCTTTCAGGTTGGGCAGAATTTGGCAGACTTTGTGGCTTTCAATCAGGGCTTTTTAGCAATTATAGCTCTACAGTTATTTCACTATCCTAGAAGCCCTAGTCCCGGGATTCATTTCGCTCCATCTTAGTGGTCATTGTATCTCTAGCGTCTAGCACTGTGCCTGGCATGAGGCAAGCAGGCACTATACTCTGAGGCTTTGGAGTCAGACAGACCTGGAATAACTATAACTCTTATATTAGCTTTGTGATCCCAGACAGGTTATGTCACCCCTGTGGAGCTCACTTTTCTTCATCTGTAAAATCTGAACAACAATAACACCTGGCTCACTGGGTTGTTGGGAGAATTAAATAGAATGTGTAGGGTCCTGAGCACTGTGCCTGGCTGATAGTAAACACTCAAGAAATGATAGCTGTTATCATAATTATCATCATCAGTATTAATTCCTCTGTAGAAGTGTTGCCGAAAGAATGACTTACTCTCAACCAGCCACTTTAGCCTTAATTTAGAGCCAGTCAAGAAGCAATCAAAAGCACGTTTTTAATCTGGTATTCCCAATTGAGTTGCATGTTTGATTTAACTAACTTACTTTGACAATAGCAAGAAAAAGACAGGGCAACCCAGATAGGGGTAGTTACCCTGTATGCTCCAATCCCAGGACACTGAGACCTCAGTTCACATGGTCTGGAAAAGGTACTTAGATTTTCACCAAGACCACCCTTTCCCCGTCTCTAAAATAGGGATCCTGAAGTTGCTGACTTTACCATGGCATGAAGAGAATTACTCCATGGCATCCTTCAAGATTCACCATGGAAAGTGAAGAAACACTTTAGAAACCTCTCGCCTAGAAATGGAACTTTTTTCCTCCCATTTGTGAGGTCAGGGTATGCTCAACAAGGATGAGGATCCACACCAATGGGCTTTGCCAGGGTGTCAGAAACGTTTAGGTCCCTGAATGGAGAAAGGAGAAGCAAGAATATTTCTTGAATTTCTTATGGCCATTGCTGAATGTCCTCATTGTGGTAACAGCTAATGATTCTCTTAATCCCTGAAGAATGTATGGGACAGTGAGATTAGATTCCCTCAACTCATTTCCTTTCCCCCTAAAAAAGCCACCTTCAGATTGGAGCTTATGTGTTCTTGACAAAGGATGTAAAAAGCTTTGATGAGTAATTCCTTCCCAAGAAAGCAGTTGTTATACCTGTTTCTTTGAAAAATGCCCCCATCTCAGATATGCCAAGTGCCATGCTGAGAGTTGGTCCTGTTCACTAGCGCATTTAGACCTTGATCTAATTTCTGCTTGTATCCAGGTTTTTGAAAGATTTAATGGATGACATTTACTGAAGGTGTGCTCTGGACCAAACACTTAGCTAATGGCTTCATATATGTTACTGTGTTTATTCTCCATTACAACCCAATAAATTAAAATATGTTAATACCCTATTTTGTAGATGAGGAAAATGAGACCCAGAGATGTTATATAATGTACCCAAAGTTCAGTAACTAGAAAGTGATATAATTCAAAGTTGGATTCGAAGTCAGGAAATCTTTCTCCAGAACCTCCATCATTGACCACTGTGCTCTTTGGCCTGTAGTGGTCATGGGACTATGTGTTCTTGGATCCATTCTCTTGCCACTCTACTTGACTCTATCTCAGGGAGCTACATTTCCCAGGCTTCCTTGCTGTCTGGCTTCAGCCAGTGGGAGGCAGTAGTAGAAGACTGAAGGCAGGAGGCAGGGGAAAGCCAGGGGTTTCTCTCATTCTCTCTGGTTTAGGTGGTATCTGCCAGCAGCAGCCTCATCTCTTTCTATTGTCCCAGTTCCCACTGGGTAGCTTCCACCTGGTGGCCCTGGCTCCTAGGATCCATAACACTATCTCCTCTTGTGTCCCTCCAGTCCAAGGAGTGGCAGTGGTTTTCTGCTGTTGCTAATCCTGAGGTGCCTTACCACTCTCTTTGGTATGTCTGCTCTCTCATCACCTATAAAATCAGTTCCCTGTAATAAATATCTCTGTTAGGGGAAAAAAAAAAATGTCAGCTCCATAGTTGACCAGTTCTGTAAACCTCAGGATGAATCATTTGACATGCATGAACCTTGGCTTCTTCATTGCTTAAATGAGGATTATAATACCTAATGAGCATTAAACCAGATACCGTGCAAGAAAGCACTTGAAATATTTTTAAACTAGAAAAGCTCTATACAGCCATAAGATGCTACTAGTTATTTCTTGATTGGACACATTTTTTCCTATCCACCTACTCACTGTTCATTGTCCAGTATGAGAACCTGTATAAGATTCTGAGATTTAGGTGTCATTGAATGAGAACCATTTTCTTAAAAGTGACTCTCACACTTTGATATTCATCTTCTGAACCCTACTTGAGAAGCAAAAGATTACTATAGACCATTTGCAGTAAAAAGCTGTATCAAATTGTCTTTCATAAATTTTACTTCTATTGCCAAACCAACCTTGAATTATATCCTAAGGTTCTTTGGGAAACTTAGCTTTCTCAATTTTACTTAGTTGATTTACTTTAAATAAAGGAATTGTTAAATAAAGGACTGTTAAAATATTAAGGAAACAAAGATGAAAGAGGGGAAAGCTGGTTTCTTTACCGTAAACAGATCCCACTTTGCATCTTTTAAATCCGTTTGGGTTTCCCCATCTGGTCCCCTTCCTATTGTAGGCACTAAATAAATATTAGAGAACAAGTCTCTTCAAACTGTGTAGTCTTTGCCTTTCCTTGTTTGCCCTGGCTCCCCTCTAGAAAAGAAAAAACAATTAACTAAGGATTATTGGCAGCATAAACCCATCAGGACCTGCTAATTTTTAAATTTCATTTTGGAAAATCATTCTTCACTTACGGGACTTGTCCAGAATAACAGCTCCATTAAAGTTTTGATTTTTATCTAAAGTGGTAAGATATGTATAAACATGTGAAAGTGTTACATTATCATTCAAAATGCCTCCTCTAATCTCTTTCCTGATTTGGTTGCTTAAATTTAGTGTTCAAGTTGCTCTGAAGGCGTTAATGCTTAGCGGGAACAAGAGGGTGATAAACTTCCCACGTACAAGCAATGTCACTACCACTCCCTTTGATGACATCTTTTTCTCCATGTAGACTTTTACCTTCTTAGTGCAAATGAACTCTTAAGGTTAAGTTCTATCCCATTTTCCCCCAGTTTTAAATGATATATTATAGTCATCTTAACGTGATCAGCAAAGAGTATAATTTGAGAAGCCAGTTCTATTGGCAAATATGTGAAGGACAAAAAAAAAAAAAAAAGCCACCCATCTGGGTTTTATAGTTCCCTTCATTCTGTCCTTGCCAAAAATCTTAATTGGGTTTGCAAACGGGGAATTTTAGAAATTTTGTTTTCCTAGTATAACCTGTGAAATGAAAGCAAAGTAGATTAAGGCAGGGAAAAAACATGAACTTATCAAGAGTGTTATTTTTCCCCTCTAGACATTTTTTCAAGTAAAACCCACAAATTTTGTAGTTTTTTGACTTTGAAACTTTCTCAATCCATATTTTCATATTTGATTATTCTCATAATTAATAACTATACACAGAAAAGAGAATGTTTTTTAAAAGTCCTTATCATATCTATGAATCTCTTTCTCACTCTTTACTGTAACTACCTAAGTCATATTTTTTTCATACAGGATCATTCAGGAAAAGACAGTAAGAAAGGCCTGTGAACTTTATCAAAGAAGATTGTGATACACCGTGTCAAGATGATAAATTTATCATGTTAGCCTTTAGAAAACTTAAATTTAAAATTCAGATCAGAAAAATGTACTGTCTATGACTGGCCAATAATTTTTTAATGTCACATATAGGCTGTATCATAATGGCATTATCACAATATTTGATGATGTTTCAGATATATTGTAAAGTCTATATTCCAGCTCTTAAGAAAAATATAAGCAGGGTAAACACCTTATTTACGTATGGATAGTAACAGCAAATTTGTTACAATAAAAGGAAAATTTCATTAGCCAGTTACTTCCAAAATTAGATTTTTAAGTTGCATGAAACCATTAATACCCTTAAAAGTTTTGATGAGTTTCCAGGAATAATTATATTCTATTTAATCAGATGATGATAATGATGATATATTTGAAAATAGTATTCAGTATCAGCAAATTTATTCAAGAGTTTAAATAAGGATAAATGTTCAGAATTAGCCACTATATTTATAAGGAAGAGTCAGAAAGAGCAAACGAAACAATGACCTTAGTTGTTTTTTTATGCCACCTACTACTGTGGTTTTACTCTCATAAGACAGCTCTGTTGATAATTATATTTTTGTTACTGTGCTTCTGCACCTGTTGGACGGATTTTGTTGACATTTGTGTTAATAACATATAATTAGTAAACATTCTACCTTGTCAGGTTCATCTAGTAGTGGAGTTGATATCTATTTGTATAATTGCCATAGCACTGAACTGAAATGATTTTACAACAATGTGGAATTCTTGACTTAGAAAGTTAATGTATAACATATCCAAAAAGCAGTGTTTCCCCTTGCTGTGAGAGTTATTACTTATACAGATATTACCTCAAATATGCATACACTGGTGTCACAGTTTCTCTGAGATGTTTCTGTATTCTGAAAGCTAAATATTAAATGCTATTTTTCCATTCAAATGTTCATTTAGAATTTCCTTAGAAGATGATAATGATTGTAATATTAATATGATTTCGGTTGTTCCAGTGTCCAGATGAAAATCATCTTCCTTGTCTCATAAAAACCTAAATATAAAGGAAAATGGAAAATAATTACTAGAGTTTTTACTTTCCTGAAATTTGTTTCGTCCTTTGTTGTTTATTATCATTTTAGCACCGACTTGACATATATTTAATTTCTTTCATTGTAAAGTGGATGAAATGAGCAAGTACCTAAGAATTTTATTTCGGATAGAAGTCGGGAGTTACTGCTAGAAAACAGACATGTAGGAGACATTTAACAGGAGTGAGAACTGAGAGTTAGACCATATGGGCTGACAAGGCCATAAATAACAAGGAAAGGGAGTGCCGAGTGAGGAGAGAACTAAACAAACGACAGCGCAGAGTATCAGAAAACCCAGAGTGAGCGCCGCGTGGGTGCACAGATACTGCGCATCTGTGACCAGGGTCTGCTGCACAGAAATCAAGTCCAATGACTGAATAACATACAGAAGAGTAGGAAAGACACAGATTTACAATTGACCAGAAAATCTAATCCCTGCTTCACCATTAATTTAGCCATGTGATTTTGAACAAATTATTCAAACTTGCTAGACTTCCCATTTTCTCATCTCCACAATGGGAATAATAACGTTTAAGGCAGCATTACTATAAAAACTAAGATAACATGGTGATTTTCAGAGTTGTTCAGACTATACAGCAAGGGGACGGGGTGGGTGCTCTTTGAAGAGCATGAGGATTTGAAAGATTCCCAGAAAGCACTTGGAACTGTACATTTAAGAAATCTCAAGGCTACAACCCTCTTAATTATACCCATTTGCAACCTGAGGCCTCAAAAGTTTGAGCAGTTTTCCCAAGGTATGATGGATAGTTAGAATCAGGGCCAGGATTTGGGTCTAGAATTCAGGGGTCCTGGTTCCCCAGATATTACTCTAGTCTTTATACACAAATTAGCTATAATTTGCTAAACAAAATACTGCCATGTGCTAGGCAGAGTTGGAGCCGGGGAGCTGAGCACTGTTGCAAACTGCCTCTCTAGCCAGGCTTGTTCTTATTACTCTCCTTGCCAATGATGGTGTTTAGCAAATCCTATTATTATAAGTAAACATATATTCCATGGATTTAGTTATACTGCTTATTAACTTGTGTTCCTATTATCAGTAATGACTTCTTATGTCTAGGCTGGATTAGAGATTCAAACACAGCAATGTTACTCTTGCCCTTTTCCATCATAGTTACATCGAGTTTTGTCAGACTGTCTCCCTACTTTCAAATCTACCTTGAGGTTCTGGATTCCAGGAAGCAGCACTTAAGAAGTTCTAGCTAAGCACTCTAGAATTTGGCATGAGTCATCCTCGTTGCTCGTCTGGCTCTATCTTGAGCCCCAGCACTGGTAACTAGATTACCCTGAACCGCAACCTAGAGCCCTGATGCCCCCAGCCTGCCTGGATCTCCACACACCCATGCCTGTAGTCCCTGGTGCTGGTCTCTGCTTGCCTGTGGCGGCACTCAGTCTTCCTCCTTGGACCTCCAACCACAGCCCCTGGGTGCACCTGCTCCTGTTGTCTGGCTCTACCTCTGTGGGTTGGTCTGGTTCTGCATTCCTGTTCTGTTGTCCGCTACCTTCTCCCTATCCCTCCCATCTATGTCCCACTGCAGCTGAGTGGCCCATGCCAGTCCTACTGACATGGAGTACACTTTGCATTTGAGTGCCCACCATACAATGTGTAAAAATAGCAGTCCTTTTAAGCATTGACTTAAATGTCTAGAATGATTTGTCTAAAATCCGTGAAGCCCTTCTTAATTTTTTTATCCTTTGGCCTACATTTCCTAGAATTCTTGAAACTCCGCTTATGAAAATTCAACTTTCTTTTTTAATCATTTCTTTCTCTAATCAATTTACTAAACAGCATTTTATTATTTCAGTGTCGCTTTCTACCTGATCTCTAAACAAACATATGACTTTATTAGTCTTTCCTTCTATAGCCAGAAGTGATTTCCAACACTACAGAACTGAATAACACCCCTCAAAAAAAAGATATCCATGTCCTAATCTCTGGAATCTGGGAATATTCTCTTCTATGGCAAAAGAGTGAATGTTACCTTATATGGCAAACGCTATGATTAAGTTAAGGATGTTGAGATGGAGAAATTATGCTGAATAATCTGGATGGGCCCTAAATGCAATCACAAGTATCCTTATAAGAAAGAGTTTTATAAACCAATGTGACCCCAATAAAATAATAAAAAAGAAAGAAAGAAATACATGATGATATTAAAAAACAGACAAAAAAGATATTATCACACAGAAGAGGAGAAGGCAATGTGAGCACAGAGGCAGAGGTTGGAGTGCTGCAGCCACCAGAGCTGGAAGAGGCAAGAAACTGATACTCCCCTAGAGCCTCTTGAAGGAGCATGACCCTGCAGGCACTGGTGAAACTGATTTTGGACTTCTGGCCTCCAGAACTATGGGACAATAAGTTTGTTATTTTAAGCTACCAAGTTTGTGGTAATTTGTTACAGCAGCTACAGGAAACTACTCATACAGGACAAATCTGTAATGCACATGACTGAATTTCGCAATGTGTGGAAAACAGATACACCTTAACGGCACTTGGTTTTTCCCATTAGCCATTTGGGTAAATCAAAGATTGTGTTGGCCATCTCTTATCTTAGCTCTTTTTCTCCTTCAATTTTATTTCTCTCCATTCCCACTGCCACTGCCAAACCAAGCCATCATCATTTCTTACCTGGAGTATTTCTTACCTGCAATTTCCTACTGGTCTTCCTATAAGCATTCTCTTATTCCTCTCCTATGTACATGCTCTCATAAAGATGTCATTCCCTGCTTCAAGTCGTCCAGTTATTTCCCATTGCACTTAAGATCAAACTCCCAAAACCTCACCAGGCTCCCACCTACCCTCCAGCCTCATTTCAGTCCATGTTCCTTGCTAACCACCTCTGCATTCTAATTCTTCTTAAAACAAGCCAAGTTCTTTCCCATCTCAGGACTTTTGCATCCTCAATACATCCTGCGTCCCAACCCTATCAGTCTTTATTTTATTTTCATCATAGCTCTTATCACTGTCTGAAATTATCTCATTGGTGGTTTGTCTCCTTCCCAGTGACTACACACAGTAGAACAATGTTTCTCAACAGGGAGTGGGGAAGATGTCCCCAGGAGACAGTTAGCAATGTCTAGACATGTTTTTGGTTGTTATAATCAGGGGCATGCTAGTGGTGGGTAGAGGCCAGGGATGCTGCTAAACCCACTCTACGATGCACTGGGTTAGCCCCCCAAAAGAAAAATTATCTGACCTAAAATGTCAGTTCTGCTGAGGCTGAGATGCCCTGCAATAGATGCTTGTAGCAGAGGGTACTAGTTGTCCCCTAATAGCCATTCTTTCATTTATCTGTGGTAATAGATACTCTGATATTTTTACACACAGCTGCCAAGTATAAAGAAAATATTTTCCAGTCTCTTTGTAGGTAGAAATGAGAAGGAAGGCGACATGCTGGCGATTTTTGTTTTCTTCCTCCATCCTGCTGCCTGAAAAACAGACACTGCCATCTTAGATCATGAGATTGAGGCCATGCAAGGTAGAGCCACAAGATAGAAAGATGTTGTGTCCATGCCACTGTGGAGCACCATACCGCTCCTGAATTGCTGCTCAGTAAATAATTGAATAAATGAATGACACCAGATATTTTTAGTGCATTGTCTCTCTTAACAGCCTAGACATGAATAAAAAGCCAAAAATATGTTTGTCCTATATAGTACAAAACCATCAGCCTTTTTTCTTTCTCTTTCCTAACTTGTGGGGTCTCATCTCACCTTCCCTGCCTTTTGTGTTAGGATTGTGATTTAAAATTATATCCTCTACTTTCTCTGCACATTCAGCTTTTTATATTTAACTTCGCCATTATTACTCCATCAGCAACATGCAATGGGCCCCTACAATTTCTATGCATTTCATGCCATAAAAGTTTACAAGAGAAGCAGACCCCTGGTCTCTTCTTCCTTCTCTTGACTGTGACTTACACCACAAGGAGAACAAACACCACACAAACAGGAGCATTCAGCTATAGCATGTATACACACACAGCACAGAAGAGCTGAAGGTGTAATTGTGACAACATTAGGAAAAACTTCAGTTTTCTCCAGGGTTTTTTTTATTCTTGGTGATCACCCCTTTTCCTAAATTTGAGCAAGAATGTACTTGAAGTTTTGGCTCTGCCTCCCTAAACCAGATGACTTCCCAGATAGCCAAGTTTCTCCAGAGAGTGTATGGCTCCTTTAGAAATGTTTGTTCTCCCTGAAGCACCACCCATGGTAAAGAATTTCATCCTCATTCTTCCATGAGCTGCCCATTTCCTGGAACACAAATGATTTCTAGACAGCCACTTCTCAGCCAAGGGCTTCCTGAAATAACCCTCCATAGGTTTTTTTAAGTTTATTATTTTCTTTGTGTTTTTTTTTTAAATTAATTAATTAATTAATTTTTTTCCCCCCAAAGCCCCAGTAGATAGTTGTATGTCATAGCTGCACATCCTTCTAGTTGCCGTATGTGGGACGTGGCCTCAGCATGACCAGAGAAGCGGTACGATGGTGCGCGCCTGGGATCCGAACCCTGGGCCGCCAGCAGCGGAGCGCGCACACTTAACCGCTAAGCCACGGGGCCGGCCCTGTTTTCTTTGTCTTGAAACAAAATTGATACATGGCAAATGTAGACAATATAGAATTTACAGAAAAAAATTATAGTTAGCAGTTTGGTTAATGTTCTTGTATTATACACACAGAAATATTTACAAAAATGAGATCATACCACACATACTATTTTGTGACCTGCTTTTATTCCCCCCACATCAATAAAAATTCTTCTACAATAGGATTCTCCATAGGAGAACCTACCTCCAATAGGTCATATGAACTTCACCTGAGGGGTCAGGGTTTTTTCAAACTACATAAACTCATACTTATAGGCCCAGTCCATCACTACCACCGATGAAAACGACTGACCCAGGCAACTAGAGTTAGTTGTGAGACCGTGCCATAAGCACCCCGTGTGTGAGGCAGAAAAGGGAGACAAGAC